GCCTTCCGCAACCCTGTCAGGAAGCCCAAAGCGCTGAACATGGTACAGTTAAGTAAATATATTGAATAAATCAACAATAAAAGAAATTCAAATTACAAAATACAAATTACAAAATACAAAATGGAAATTACAAGATAGATGAAACATTCTGGTAAAGGACAAATGTGTGACACACATTTGGATTGAGTGGATGGATTGAGTGTACCAATGAAAACTGTGGAATGGATTCAACATAAAAGAGGGCCAAAATCAAACATGTTCTGGAAACGCCAAGCGGAGGAGGTGTGTTTTTAGGTGATTCTTAAAGACTGGCAGAGAAGGGGACAGCCTAACTGAGGGTGGCAACTGGTTCCAGAGTGACGGTGCTAGGACTGAGAAAGCCCGGTCCCCACGGGTACGACACCTAGACCGAGGGACAGCGAGCAGGCCTTGGTCAGAGGAGCGCAGAGCGCGTGATGGGGAATGTCTTTTCAGGAGTGTGGCTAGATAGGGGGGACCACCACCCTGGAAGAAATTATAAACAAAGACGAGTATTTTGAATTGTGAGCGATAGCAAATCGGAAGCCAGTGCAGAGAGGCCAGAACCGGACTGATGTGGTCCCGTTTCCTGGTCCCAGTCAGGAACCTGGCAGCGCTGTTCTGCACAACCTGTAGGCGATGCAGTGTTGACTGACACAACCCTGCATAGAGAGAGTTGCAGTAGTCAAGCCGAGAAATAACAAAGGCATGCAGTACCCGCTCCAGGTGGGCTCTCGACAGCATAGGCTTGATTTTAGCAAGGCGTCTCAGGTGAAAGAAACTGGACCGGATCACAGAATTGGTGTGAGCGTCAAATTTAAGTCCTACATCAAGTTTCACCCCCAAACTGGTAACAACTGGTTTTGAGTATGGAGAAAGAGGGCCAAGATCAGCATAACGATCCACATTCCTGCTGTTGGGGTGAAAAACAATGAGCTCTGTCTTTCCCTCATTCAGATGTAGATAGTTGGACATTAGCCAAGACCTCACCTCATTAACACAGGAGACAAAGGACTGAATAGAGTGACCTTTCTCCAGACACAATGGAGAGTAAATCTGGCAATCGTCAGCATACAGATGGAATGATAGGCCATGTTTACGAAAGATTGACCCCAGAGGTAGCAGATAAATGGCAAACAAAAGAGGACCAAGGATCGACCCCTGCGGGACCCCCCAGCGGAGCCTCTCCCAAGAAGAAAAAACATCACCCAGTTTAACACAGAATGTCCTGTTTTGGAGATACGATCTAAACCAATCCAGAGCTGACCCTTTGATCCCAACCCATCGTTCCAAGCGATCGAGTAGAATCGCGTGGTCAACTGTGTCGAAGGCTGCTGTTAGGTCTAACAACAGAAGCAGCACAGATGTACCCTGATCTAGTGAAAGATAGATGTCATTTAGGACCCTCAGTAGAGCAGACTCTGTGCTATGGCCAGACCTGAACCCTGATTGGAAAACCTCAAACAGATCAGAGTCAGCTAAATGTGAGACCAGCTGCTGATAAACGACTTTCTCAAGCAGTTTAGATGTAAAGGGCAGGGTAGAGATAGGCCTGTAATTTTCTATCACAGAGACATCAGCACCAGGTTTCTTCAGGGTCGGCCGAATAACTGCTGCTTTCAAAGCAGCTGGGACAACACCTGTGCTGAGGCTCCCATTGATAATCTGACCAAGTGAAGGGCCAAGGCACGGAAAGGCAGCCTTCCAGAGACGAGGTGGCAGAACGTCAAGTGGAGAGCCTGATGGCTTCTGTCTCGCAACTAGCTTACTCAGCTCAGAGTATGAAACTGTATTGAGGGAGCTCAGGGTGGGTGGTAATGGATGAACTGGAACAGGGTCAACAGAGTTACCAGAAATGACTGCTCTAATGCCCGACACTTTATCAACAAAGAATTTGTGAAAAGCTTCAGAGTTTCCAGCAGCTGTAGGAGACATGGAGCTAGGCTCCTGATACACCAGAACAGAGTTTAGCATTTTGTAGAGAATCTTAGGATTATTGGAGTTTGTCTCAATGATGTCTGCAAAATAGGCCATTCTGGTGGCCTTCACTGCATCCTGATAAGCAACCAGAGATGCTCTGAACAACTCACGGGAGACCTGTAGGCCATCCTTTTTCCACTTTCTCTCCGAGGATCTACACGCCCGCCTGCAAGCCCGTGTGACATCAGAGAGCCATGGCTCCCTCCTAGGCCGAGACTTGCACAGTTTGAGAGGGGCAACCACGTCCAAGACCTGATTACAAAGTACATCAAAGTGTTGTGAATAGTGATCAACGTTAGATGGATCTGGGTTAAAGGTCTCTAACCTTAGAGACATACAGTCCACAAACTTTGAAATAGTTTCTGCATCCAGGGCTCTGAACCTAGTAGCGGGAGCTTCACACACAGGGACAGGACATGGCAACGTAACATCACAGAGTATAGGAGAGTGGTCAGAGAACACAGGGGGCAAAGTCACGAGGTTCGTGACGGGTAGACCATAAGAGATAACCAGGTCCAGGGTGTGACCCCTGGCATGAGTTGGGGATGATACCCATTGAATTAGATTGAATGAATCTAGCAAATTAAAAAAACCTTTAGCAAGCACATTATCAGGACAGCAGATATGGATGTTAAAATCACCAAAAAATAGGACATAATCATATTTTAGGATGCAGTCTGCCACAAGATCACAGAAATCATTAAGGAAGTTAGAGTCAGTCTTTGGAGGGCGATAAATCAGCACAACGAGCAGGCGGGGGGAGATGCACAGTTCAAATGAGCACAGTTCAAGGGAAGAAAATGACATGGTGGGTGTAGGCTGTTTACAAGGAAAGCTGGATTTAAAAACAACAACCAGCCCTCCACCTCTGCCCCGTGGTCTGGGGGTATTAAAACACGAGCAGCCAGGTGGTATCAGCTCGAGTAGGGAACTTGTGTCACCAAACGGGATCCAGGACTCACAAATGCAGAGAAAACCCAAGTCATGCTGAATAAAAAAGTCACGACGAATAAAAGTTTTGTTCAGCACAGACCTGGCATTGCCCAGACCAAACCGGGTCTGCAGCGGGGCTGCAGCACAGAGATCGCGCACGGACCCAGTCCCCTCTAACTCTGTGCCCGTAACCGAGCGCAGATTCTCCCAGCAAACCCCAGTCTGGCAAGATCTTCGAGCCGATCGGCCGTGGCGCGGTGCCGGTTCACCCTCAGAGCCGGCCGAGTTCCCTGAGCAGGGCGCCGAGTAATCCAGGAGACATCTCGGAACCATCGGGTCAGAAGCTGGGCCGGATCGGGCCAGCCGCTTGTTCAGGGATCCAGGCCGACGTCTCACGCGCCGGCTACCTCTCTTTCCTCGTCTTCTCCGATGCTTCCTTCTCGAGCTGGGGCGGACAGAGGGCCGACACATCACGGCTTGGGTGGAGAGAGCACGCGGGCAGTTCAACCAGCAGCATCGTCCGTGAGGTTCATGGCTCACACAGCCCAGTTCCCAGCGCGCGCTGCCGGCGACATCAACGGAAGGACGAAGCCTCAGCAGCACAGCCCGATCATATGTCAGCAGAGGATCCACGCCATTCAAAAAAGGGATCAGCGACAAGAAAAGTGCATAAAAGCCAATAAAACGCCAATAAAATCCAATAAAAAGCAAGGTATCAGTGCGTAAAGAGGACGAGCAGCTCGCAGCGTGACCGTGCGCAAGCGCCATCTTACTTCAAACTCCTATTCTGGCCACAAAGCTTTAAGAAAAAGGGTTAAGGGGTAGGGAGCTCCAAAGTTTTGGGGCACAGATAGTAAAAACCCTTTTCTCGTGGGTCTTCAAATGTGCCTTGGGGATGGTGAGTAGACAGCTGCTCAGGGGAGAAATCAGTGTGTGTGTGCTTGTGTGTGTGCTTGTGCGTGTGTGTGTGTGTGATACAAGATTATGAGGACACACACAGCAAATTAATAAAATAATGTTGTTCAGAGTCTCCAAAAGCAACACAGCTCATGTCCGCCTTTGTTTACCTTATAATGGAGGACACCGCAGACTTTCCCGCACTAATTAAACTCCGCCCACAGGCTCGGGGATATCTGCATTCCTGGGAAGTCCCTTGGATTTATATGTGAACACTTGCCATAATGGGCCGAGGAGGGAACCTTGAGGAACCCTCCAGGGAAGGGAGACCCACTTGGATGAGAACTAAAGCGTTCATTACTTAATATTAATTTATTATTAATTTGATAACTGGATATTTTTTGTTATTGTTCTGTCTCTTACTCCTCAAATAATCATACCTTTAAAATTATAGAGTGATCATTTCTGTTAGTGGGTTGAACTTCCAACGTTGCCCAGATTTGGGGATTTCAGACAACCTCAGGTGTACATTTGAAGTACATGTCTTGCATCTGCTTTGGAAACATAATTGTGAGTTTTTGATCTCACATTAACAGACCTTCTGCTTCCCCTAGAGTACATAAACACCCCATAAACAAAACCTTTTCCTTGTAAATTAGGAGCCAGACAGATAAGCAACAAATGAAAAGCTTCCTATAGAGCTGCGTTTCTGTTGGGTATTATCATTCAAACAGGGATGCAACAAGACCGACTTTCCTAATTGCTCCAGATCTTTGTTTCATCCTCCACTCAGCTGCTCTTTAGGGGGCCGTGTATCTGACTCAAGCAGAACAGAAAAGGTTTTAATGATGCAGGTCTGATTATTTTGTCAGCACTCCTGCTGATTGTGGACTCGATACACCAAAGCAAAAAGACTCTGGGAACATTCAAGCTTATTTCTTCAGGAACTGTGATCATCGTTTAGGGCCTAAACAGTTAAAGGCTGCAGTTACCAGGCAACACTTTAGTCAGGAGATTTTTTTTCAACATCACCTTGACGATTATTCTTCATAAATTGTTTTAAAAGCTCATCTGAACTCAAGTGCTCGCCCTGTAATCCTTACAATGCATTTCCAGAAAGAAAATAAATTAGACTCCACTGAGGGTTAAATAATCTGCAGTTGTGTACATACCACACTGACTTTTACAGCATAAAGCAGGTCAAAGGGCAAAGCCGCTACCAGGTCGATGATGAACCACGTGGTCAGGTAATGGATGCATATCTGTCGGGCGTCAAAGATCACCTGGCCTGACTTGCTGACGTAAGTGGTGCGAAAACTGAAAATGATGTCTGAAATGAATAAGATCTTGTTATTCTACTGCTTGTTTTTTATCAGCTGACAGAATTGGTTCAAAATCACCAACCAACCTATGATGAACAGAATCTCTACGCCAATGTCGCTGACGGTTGTGCTGCGGGTCAGGTCATCATCGTCCCCAATGAAGCACACATTATAGGGCACTGTCACGGCAACGTAGAAGGTAGCGAGCAGAATCAGCCAGTCCCAGCCTGCTTTGAATGTACTGTAGTGAAGTAAGATGAATTTAGACTTTTTGGCATCTGCTACTTTGTACTCTGGTAGAGCAGGTAGATCCCCAAACACGTTCTAGAACAAAACAAGAGAGAAAACAAAGAACTGATGCCATTTAAGACAAAAATCATTCTGCAGCGCTAACAAGGTTCTGAGCTAGCGGTTTATTTAGAATAAAATATAACATTTGATGAACAGATTTTGTCTAAATGACTGATAAAGTTTCATGATAAAGTATCCAGAGACAATTTAAGGAGACAGACGTTAATTCACACCAGCAGGTATAATGGTAATTTAATTACACATACTGATGTCAAGATGATTAAAAGTTAGGAGAGAAGTTGATTCACTCATTCACTGCCATTGACGACTAAAGTCGTCATTTTAGATCCAACCGTTCACTGCCAGTGACGACTAGTCATTTGCATTTTTTTCCTGTTTGAGCATTGGAACGAGCCCCTGCGAACAAACATCTCAGCCCTGAAGCCGATCTTCATCCGCATACATCACAGATCACATGATCAGGAAGCAACACATCCATGTGTTAGGAGATCGTTTTGGGCCGTTCCTGTGAAAAAAGTGGGGCGCGAACCGGAAAAGCGTCTGCCGATCACAATTCGACAACGGATTATGAAAGAACGGATAACGGTCGAAACACGCGGCTTCTTCCTGATGTAAGAGGTCAGTCTCCTCTTTGTTTTGGTTGTTTTGGCGTCGACATCATGCTAGCGCGCAACGTTCTGTGACTCTTAAAAAAACAGTAAAAACGGTGGGAAATGCTGGCAGCGAAGGCCGTTAGTGATCAGGAAACGGCTGGCAGTGAAGGAGTTAAAATTGGGGAGCGTCCCCTTCCAATCAGCTCACAGGTCCCATGAACAAAGAAAAACAATGTAAGTGTATGGCATTATAAAAGTCCCACAGGTGTTATACGTAATGCCTGTCACAACATTTTGTATATTAGGGTTAGGGTGGGGGGTGTCTTTAAAATTCTCAGACATCACATGTGAAATCTATGGCAAACATCAAACCCCTCCATAGACTCCCATTCATTTGGCAGTAGGGGACCCATGGACTGGAAGTGGATGGGCGTTTCTCTGTAGGAGTATTGGTGTAAAAGTCATAAAAATATTTTGACACCCTATGAAAGGAGTTTAAGTATCTCTGGGTCTTTGATTGAGGGAAAGATGGCGCGCGAGATGGACCGACGGATTGATGCTGCGTCTGCATGGATGTAGACGTACCGATCTTTCGTAGTGAAGAGAGAGCTGAGCAGGAAGGCGAAGCTCTCGATTTACCGGTCGATCCACGTTCCACTCTGACTACCGTTGGCTGCAAGTAAGACACGGACTCTTTCTTAAAGGAGGCAAACACTGGTAATTTTTATGAATCTGCTGTGGTTTCTAGGATAAATTAATGCCTTGGGAATGATTTTCAGTGGAATAAAAGCTCTGGCACTCCTGTTTCATGAAGTAGACATTTGTCAGAGAGGTGGGAGGCGGATTGTAGGTCTTACTCATTATTATTCATAATATGCAAACATCTTGCCTCTGATTGGCTAACAGGTAAGCAAGTCTTCTGTTGCCTCTGTTCGTTCTTCTTTCTTGGGTAAAAATTCAGAGTTGATGTTTTATTTCCTTAAATAACACAAGCCTAAAGGAGTCCTGCCATGTTGTGGATTTGCTAATGCTAACTGTTAGCTTCTACTAGCTGAGTTGTGCTCTGGTCTCTCCTGGCAGCACCGGGTGAGTTCATGAATGAAATTTCTACAGTGTGATGTAGATCTGTGTGGCTTTTTCCAACCAAAGCCTTTCTCTGTCTGTTTTCTTCCGGTGGGTGCAGGAAACAGAGGCTGAAGCAAATTTTCACCTTCAACATGTATGTGAAACTCAGAGAGATGGAGGTATTAAAAAAAACTTTCTCAGTGAACCTCACCTTTAAGTTAAGAATTGAACTTTAAACTGGCTTGTATGCGAGTTATCTGCAGTTAACACAAAACTTTACTGAACCCATAAAAATAGTGTTATGTTTCATTTACAGTCTTTTTTTTTCTGGAAGGGTTCATATAGAGGAAAGACCTCTCTTGTCCGTTTCATCTACCTGCTCCTTCTGTGCTTCTATAGCAGCTTTTATCTCCTCCCCAGTTTGTTACCCTCACCATGTCTTGCACATCTCGCCCCACTGCTAAAAGTATGTGATGATACCTTGTTGAGTTTAATCTTGCTCTTCTCCCTGCTGTGGAGGTGACCGGAGATGTGGTAAAGCACCGTGCTGCTCCGCAGACGAGTCGAGGTGAAGGAAGAGCCGGTTTTCACCCTGCCGCGTCTTCGCTCTGTCAGCACACACACACACACACACACACACGCACGCACACACACACAGGTTGGTACACACTCAAATACAACACCATCTACCCCCCAAGGTGAACTCCTGATGATTGAATCAGTCATTATGCCTGATGAAATACATAATATTCTGTCCTAAATAGAAAAACATGAATATGCAACATTGCTCAGTTAGCACAAACCTAAAAAGGGTCGGAACAGGGAAATAAGTAGGTATTTACGATAATTAGACTTTTGTTATGTGAAAAAAACATTTCCTATCTGTGGTGGTTATTCAACTTCTAATAATGTCTCATTCTGTAAACACTGTCTTTAAAAAGGTTGATTTTCTTCACTGGGGAAAGAAGCAGTTAAAGTAAATTGTTGTATTTTAGGGAAGTGTGCCCTTGTGTGTGTTTCTTTTTAATGTGTTTTTGTAGCAGAGAAGGTAAATAGTGCAGGAGTGATGAGCTCAGACTGGAGTTTGGTAACAGCAGAAGGTGCTTTATTGCTCCGGGGGTTCTGGGCCCGATTGTCACAGATGTGAGCCAACGCAAAGAGACTAAGGCCAGTGTGTGTGTGTGTGTGTGTGTGTGTGTGTGTGTGTGTGTGTGTGTGTGTGTGCGCGCGTGTGTGTGTGTGTGTGTGTGTGTGTGTGTGTCTGGAGAGGAGTTATAGACAATAACAAAGCTGAAGAGTAGATGTGATAACTGCTTCTGAGTGTCCTTTGGAGAAGTGCTGGTGTTTCTGTGTGTGTTTCTGTGTGTTTCTGTGTGTTTCTGTGTTTGTGTGTGGACCCCAGACGGGTTGAACTGACAGGGCCCATCCATAACTTTGTGCAGCCTTCATGGGATGAGACATGGCAGCAACACTGAGACAGGGACGGTCTTATTTTTAGATCTAATGAATTTCTCTCTACTTCTCCAAACACCCTTGTGGGGGTTGAGGGGTCGTATCAGTATATGTTATGTACGATGGGTGTGTGTGTGTGTGTGTGCGCGTGTGTGTATAATGTTAAAAACAGCTGGGATAGATTAGAAATCGAGCCTGTGAAGGAAAGGAGAGGTAAAGACAATAATACATTTGAACAGAATAAGGAGGGGATTTAATAAAAGCAATAGTTTTGCTCTTTATCTGTTTTTTATTAGAGGTGCCTTAGAAATGAAAACCACAGCTTGGGGTGTCTAATGTACCGTACGAAAAGCCTGTGCCTTCTCTGACCTGCTTCCCAGTGGAACTTAGTGAAGTGGTGTTATACTGGACAAACAGCAACAATTCACTCTGAGAACAGCTGGTATAACTGGCATGGTCTGTGCTGAGTTAACCTCTGTCTGGATCTGAGTCTTTCTTTCTGCAGGTAGGCATGTCCCGGAGAGCAGCTGCAGTGGATCTTCTCATCAGTGGTCAGGGGATTTAAGGAGCGGCGTGACAACTCACCAGTGCCGGATGATTACTGTATTGGGTAGTGTCCAGCCTGTCCGCTGCCTGTGGACTGACTTCTGTATGTGTTTGTCTGTATCAGATTCTCGTCATGTCTTCCTACCATTATTCAATAAAACAGTTCATTTTAAACTTGCCGACTTGCTTCCTGTCACTTCTCACCTGCATTCGGGTCCATTCTCACCTCCCCATCAAGAATCCCAGAATACAAAACAAACCTGACTTTGGGAGGGCAAAAATACACAACAAACGCAGGACCTTCTTAAAGGTGTTTGTTTGCCTTGTTCATCTGTAAAACTAACACTAAAACATCCTAGCAACAATCAAGCATGGTGGTGGTAGTGTGATGTCACGGGGTTGCTCTGCTGCTTCAGGACCTGGACCACTTGCTGAAACTGATAAAATCTACTCTCTAGCAGAACTTCCTGAAGGACAACGTCTGACTTGTGACGTCAAACAGGCCGTTCCTGTTGAAACCCCCTCAGATGTGGCTGAATTGAAACTACTGGAACTATATAAAAGTTGGATAAAACTCCTTCCCTGGTGATCTGAGAGTCACAAAGACTAGATCCAGTTTTGAAATTTTAGGGGGTCTGTCATGTTTTCACCTAGAAACAGGCTGGCTGGAATAACTTAGAGCCTTCTACAAATTAAATCATTTAAAAACCACACTTTATGTCTACCCATGTAGCCTTTGTTTGTCTTGCTGATCTGAAACATTGAAATGCTTTTTGGCTCCAAGGCAGACCCATTTTAACTGTTGGGTCTGACTGATGGGTTGATGTCTCAAATACAGAACAAACATAATATTTACATAATTATGAGTCGTGTATACTGGCAAGAATCTGGCTCCATCATATACACCACAATGCTGGGGAGATGATACGATATACTATGATACTAAAAACCAGACAATAGTTGATCTTTTTTAAGACTGACTTGTAAAACACATCCAGAGTTACAGCGAGTTCTCCTGAAGGTGGAAAAACTGCTAACACCTAGCAGTCGGAGTTTGACTTTAACCACACAAAGAAAGAGTTAGCAAGTAAAATCTCAATGAAAAATGTATTAACTACTTTTAGATATCAATTTAGTATCATAACAAAATATCGTGATATTTAATTGTATCGATATTTTCTTACATTCTAATTGTGAGATATTTTATCTCTAAAATCCAAAGCGCCAGCATACACACCTGCACTTACCTTCTCTCTTGTCCTCCTGGATGGCTTTGGCCTTGGTGTCAGTGATGTCCTTAAACGATGCCAGAAAGAGCACCACGTCACCCTTCTCATTCTTAATTGGCACGATGTCCAGCAGACACCAGAACAGAGCAGCTGAAATGGAAAGGAAATAAAAACTCCAGTTAATACTTTTAAACTGGCTGGAGCTGCTCTGTGTGTGTTTAAGCCAAATGTGTGTGTGTGTGTGTGTTTAAACCAAATGTGTGTGCGTACGCAGGTGTGCGTGTGTGTGCGTGCGTGTGTGTGTGTGTGTGTGTGTGTTTGAGAGAGAAAAACAGTTCTGTAGATTCCTCAAGTTACTAATGAGCCCATCAACAATTGGAAATCACCAGGGACAGGCAGAGCCTTTAAATAGACCCAGCCAGTGTTCCCCGGGCACAGCGAGGGATAAACTCATCTCCGAGGTCCCGAGTCTTCATAAATAGGTTGCTTTTGTGTGCTTTTTCCAAAAACATTAGATGACTTGTGTGCTGATTACTTTGTTATTGAACCAGTTCAAATTTACAAACAGCTATAAAAACATGGCTGGAACTGGAGAAGAAAACACTGAATGTTCAACTTATCCAGTTTAAGAGAACGTCTCGTGGCTTTTTCACCTCAATATTTAACGTTTTTAGATCTTAAATGCGTCTACAGCCTGGGTGAGGGTTTCATATCAGCAGTAGCATCAACATAGTTCCTGCAAAGACTAAACCATAACACACACACACACACACACACACACACACACACACACACACGCACGCACGCACGCACACACACACATACACACGCACGCACGCACGCGCACACACACACGCACACATGCACACACAGCCTCCTCAGAATCAAAACCTGAAAGAATTGACCAAATCTGCTAAAAACTAATGATTCCTAATCAGTTTTTCTGTCAGTGTGATGCTTGGAGATGATTGTCTTCTAATCTCTGTTAGCGCTATCACACAACAGCCACAGTGAACTTAAAGAAGCGTGGAAATCCAGGAATATGACATAGGTTTTCTTGTGGAGAGTGGAGTAATTTAGCAGAAATCTTCGTGCTTCTGGTTGTACCTTTTCCTTCTTCTCCACTTCTATAAATAACAAATTACTGATCAGGAGGGATTTCCCATGGAGTTTCCTCTCATTACTCCCACTCTAAATCATCCTTGTAATAATGATGTGTGTGTGTGTGTGTGTGTGTGTGTGTGTGTGTGTGTGTGTGTGTGTGTGTGTGTGTGTGTGTGTGTGTGTGTGTGTGTGTGTGAGAGAGAGAGAGAGAGAGACGAGGCGGCACAAGGAGGAGCTTTCCTGATTGCGGTCTCCTTTCTCAGGCAGACAACGAGGGATTGACTGATTCAATCAGGCTCGTTTACTTTCGCTTCTCTGCTGCAGCAGAGTGAAAAGCGAGGAAACAAAAGAGGCCGTAGGAACAGAAACCAGCAGTATCAGGAAAAAAAACTGAGAGCAACAGAACTACTATTGGAAGCATACAGGAGATTCACATGGAAAACATAAAGGAACAGAAATTTAAAAAAGAGAAATTATGGTAAAAGGTAATGTTAGTGTTTGATTTTAAAAGCTGTATGTTAGCTACTGAGCTGGGATGGCTCAATGAGTAACATTTAATCAAACCAAAAGGAGCTTTATGCAGGAAATAATAATATTTGCCAACGTATCAAACAATTAAAGAATTAGCCTGTTAGCTCATTCCTGCTGGATGGAATCAGTTGCAGGAAACCAAAGAGTGCCAACTTGTGGTGCCAAGTGGGTCTCTTCTGCCTCTAATAACACTCGTGGAAAAAAAAATCATCCATCCGTTTTCTGTCAGTGTTTGATTTTAGGAATTAGGTGCGACGGTGGCACAGGAGTTAAGTACTCGCCCCGCAATCGGAAGGTTGCAGGTTCGAGCCCCGCTCAGTCTGTCGCTGTCGTTGTGTCCTTGGGCAAGACACTTAACCCACCTTGCCTGCTGGTGGTGGTCGGAGGGACCGGTGGCGCCAGTGCTCGGCAGCCTCGCCTCTGTCAGTGCGCCCCAGGGCAGCTGTGGCTACATCGTAGCTCATCCCCACCAGTGTGTGAATGTGTGTGTGAATGGGTGAATGACTGATTGTGTTGTAAAGCGCCTTGGGGGGTTCCAGGACTCTAGAAGGTGCTATATCAAATACAGGCCATTTACCATTAGGTGCCAAAAACAAGTTGTTTTAAAATGTCCCATATGTGACGTCATAATCGGGACAAGCGAAGAATCCCAGGTCAGTCTCGGCTCCCTCCCTGTTCTTAAAGCTGTCTTCTTGTTTTGCTCGGAAACTTGTGTTTCGGAATAATACCCGTTATTTTACCTTACCTGCTGCCTGTCGGGCCTTGACCTGTCACCGTATTTGGATCCTAACCACTGCAAACCATGACAGTAGGAACCAACCACCAAGGATCCAGCTGTTAAATGATCAACCCATGGGAGTATCTTTGGCTGAAAGCTGAAAGGAGTACGAGAGATCTTGTGCTGGCACACCCATTAGCTCTCTTGGTGGTCAGTCAGACATCTTCACTCTTCGACGTCCCTGCCGCTGTACACTGATCCTGGGGTCCAGCCCGACAGCCTTGATCCTGCCTGTTGGTCACCTCCACCACTGACTCGAAGACTACACCACCATTCCCAATGCTTGGGTTGATGTCACCATCTTCTTTCTGATGAGTCAATCTGACCCTTCTATGATCCCCGCAACAACTGTTTGTTCTGGTGTTCTCTCCTTCACTTGAGTGGGTATTGTTGATTCCTTCTCCACCAACTTCACTTCTGCTTCTCCACATCCTCCACCTCTTCTGTGGGAGACCATGATGCCAACAACATAATCTCAGAGATGTCAGTCCAGAGGTGTAGGCCGAGCACCATCTGCTACACCTAGAGGTTAACACCGAGCACCTGCCGCCGGACCCAGAGGCCTCAGTTGCGCCGTTGCTGTCTTGCCCAGAGGTCTCCTGAGGGTCCTGGTCTACAAAGGCTCCTTCTGAGCTCCATCTTTCCCCTTGTTCTGTGCCTTTTATTTAATTGTGCATCTGGTAGCTGTCCTCAGGAGGTGGGGGACTGGGTTGTCATGTCCTGTGTCCCATGTCTCCCCAGTCCCTTCCATATCCCCTCTCACCTTTTGTGCTTGTTTTGAGGGTGTTGCTGTCCCATCCTGAGAAGGTCCAGCGACCTCGTGGTCTCGTAAGGCTCGTTTTGTCTGTTCCCAGAGGATCAGCACCCTGGAGAGTGGCGCTCCAACACACACTGCTTTCCAGATCCCCTGCCTGCAACTCAGCATGTTCAGCACCATGGAGAGTGACACTCCAAGGATCCTACCAGAAGGAGGGGATCAGATTCTGTCTGGTGCTCTCCACAGCTACTAGGAGCTTTGTTTGTAAGAGACTTTGTGACTGGGATAAGGTCAAATCGCTTTTTGGAGCTTTATGACCTATTATGAGCTTTTTTGCGCTTTATGTGTTTTTGTGATCTTTATGAGCTTTTGTGAGCTTTCTAAGCTTTTGTTGAGTCAGGTTACCTCCTGTTGGCTCACCTTGTTTAGTAGCACCTGTCTTTGAATAATCTCACTTTCTAACCTCCTGTTTTTGGTCTCACTTATGTTGTGTTTTTTAGCAACCAGCCTTTAGTTTTATCCCATAGACTTAGTTAAGAACCTTTTTGTGTTTATGTTTAACCTCTACCTTTTGTAGAGGGACTATTTTGGGTTTGATGAACGTTTTTTCAAGCAGAGGCTACACCCTTTGCCTTATTTTATTCTGGTAAAGATCTGCTTTATTTGTGTTACTACTTCCTGGATCTCCTAGCCTATGAAGGGGTGTAACAGTGCTACCTGGTCACTTGATATTCATATTGTCATTCATTCCCAGCCACAGTTCCTTCTAGCCACTCCTCTGCCACTGTCCTTCATGGTTTGTCCTCCTTTCAGTGTGTAGCCATATGAATGGCCTCATTTTGTGTCCAAAAGGTCACACTTCCCCAGCTAGGCCGAGCTGTACTTTGTCCCACAGATTATCCATCGCAGGAGCCGTAAAGTCTGCTGAACACCATCTTTTATCTGTCTGCTGTTCCGTCCCAAGATGAAGGACACTTCAAGATTTTAAATAATAATTTTAATAAACTCTTTTTACTGTTTATTACAAGGTTTATTATAATCATCATAAATAATCAGCATGTTTCAGTATAAATGTATTTAATTACTGAAATTACTTATTATTCTTTGGGTTAATAATAATAATTATTTATGATAATCAGTAGTGTGTGGTCAGTAACCAGAAGGTCATTTGCACGTGTACACATCATGCAGAACTGAATCCAGGGTAAAGTTAACTTGCTCTCACACGTCTTTGCTCCATAACAACAAGCTTTCTGAAGCTGAGAGGGCGTGTTCTGAGGTTTTGTTAAAACCAAAATCTCCGCAGCTCAAGTCCAGTTCTTGAACCAAGCAGATACTCTTCGTGGTGACGAGCGTACCAGAGGAAGAGGGTCGGCCGCCCAAAGCCTCACTAAGCTGTTCTGTCACGCCGATACAATCGTTCAGAATAAACGCACCTGTAACCAGCTGATGCAAAACTCCTTCGGAGTTATTATTTTGAGACGTAAATAATTTCATAAGTCGTTGTGACCCGGAGACATCTCAGGACTTATTTGAGTCGCACCGAGGCCCCTCTACCAACCTCGTGCCCGGAGGACATCATCTCCACCTGACATCTCGGATCCACCAGAGGGTCTCCTGAACTGGGTGAGGTAGACACTTTCCGACAGATGGTGTCTGTATGCTTTTCTCTCTAAGAAACAACTCAGTTAGCTGCAAAACAACGTTTTCCACCCAGAACGCGTTTCTCTCTCTGGAAGAAATCTTCTGAGATCCATCCACGCATCCAACACACGCATTTCATTTTAGTTTCCATTTGGACACAGGGTTGCTTTTAATAACAAGTTTAATATCAAAGCTGTTACAAATTGTCATTTCTTTAAATTGTCATTTCAATTGTCATCTTTAAAACTGTTAGTAATAAATTCTTAACTTTTTAAACATGACTCTTTCTTTGAAATGAAACACAGAAAGGTGTATATTTGGTTATTGAATAAGCAAAGAATCCATTAAGACTTCTGTTTAATAAACAAACTTTTGCTATTAATTTAGTTATCTTAAATTAACATTAATCTTTGGATTAAATATAGACCAAGCCCATTGGCATATGAACTTCTATCAATTATATAAATATCCTAAATATTTATATATGATATAAACTTCATTTGCTAACTTGTTTGATCTTTCTCAGAATCTAACAAAGCTGATAGCAAACAGCGTTATTTCTAGTATGCAGATTGTCTACGCTACAAGTGTCAGGAGTTGATGGTGTTGCTATAGGACCCAAAATGCATTAAAGCGGGGGCAGCCAGGCAAGTTGGTAATTTAATCCATATTTATTAAAGAATCCAGGATTAACACAAGGAGGAAACGTAGGTAGCAAATAGTATAAATACACATAAGAGAGTGATGGGAAACAGGGAACAGGTGAGGAATGCTGATTGTTAACAAGAGGCAGGTGAGGCTAATGAGCTGAGTGGTGAGGCAGGAGTAACAAGACACTAGAAAGATAAGGAACATTCAGCAAGATACCTACAGGGAGACAGAAAGTTGAAGTTTACAAAAACGGTTGTTTCGCTGGAGTTTTTGACAATTAAAATTGCACCCACATTTTCTAAGTTAACACACATTTCTTTTAACAACGGTAGTTTCTGTATCTATACTGCTGCCCTTCAGCCCTCTCCCCCCTCCCCCTGCGCAGCGGCCGCAAACTCACTGATGCGCCTGCAGCCTCTCAGAGTTCCTGCTGCTCTAAACATTCAAATAATTATTTCATTTTCTGTTCCTCACTTCTGATTACCTTCTACGGTGTCTGTTTGTTGCAACCACCAGGTACAAAAACTAGCTTGTTTTTATTTGACTATTTTTCTGTCCTGCCTGTTTATTATCTTCCTGCATCTCCTCTCAGTCCTAAAGAAAAACTGCTACCTGGGTTCATATATATTCACCTTATGAGTTACCTTTGAACTGCAGTTCTAAAAGATCTACCGACCGCAAAAACAGCGGAGTGCTCACCGGCTGCATCAGTGAGGTGCGTCACCAGAGGAGAAAACAGGTGATGCGCCCCGCTCCACAGCAGCGAAACGCATCAGACACAAATAAAAGACAGAAAACATAAACGGAAATGAGCCGACATGAACGATCGCGTGTTCCTGTGGCGGTTCTCAGGACGCAGATGTCTGGAGCGCGTCAACGATCAGAGCTTTGCATGCGCAAGCTGGTTAAGGTTAGGATGGGGGTGAGGGGAAGGTTAAATTGCAAGAGGGTAAAGGTCACAATTTGGTTAAATGTCCTTTTTACCGCGGGTGTCAGTACCGACGCTCTGGCACAGTGCGTCGCCTCCCGACGCGCAGGGGCTCGTCACCTTCTGTCTTTTCCGAGGATTGCATCTTGTCGCTCATTATCATGTGACAGCGACTAGTCTATGACAGGCATAAAAAATCACTACAAAGCAGTGAAGTCGACTAGTCCACTAGTTCATACAACCCCTAACACACACACACTTCTAAAGTAAAAACTACGTCCATGTGTTTAAGTTTCAATATAAATATAGAATGAGCTGCTGGCTAATGATCCGCCATCCTTTAGAAAATACCACAGTGTATTTGGATAATTTTTGACCAAGTCTAGGCTACAAGGCACCTTGCGTGTTTCCTTGCTCAGCTAGCAAAACGGCTAACAAATGGAGGACAGACTTCTGGTAGAACATGAACATTGCAACACGCATTGGCGGTTTCTGATGACGTATCTCCTAGGCAACCTTTAACAGACCACAGCAAAGTGAACAACAGAGCCCACAACAGAGTGATAGAAGGATTTAGATTGATTTGATTTGTGTGTTTATGTTTCGATGTGCAGTAAATGTCTTTTTGTTTATGTTGTTTTGTGTCAAGGCCAGCACCTTCATCATTTTCAGCATTTGACAACATCTTTGAGGAGCCGTGCACATTGGTGGCTCTTCATTATTTAGGGAAGCAATTGGCTGACGTGTGTGTGTGCGTGTGTGTGTGTGTGTGTGCGTGCGTGTCTGCGTGCGTGTGTGTATGTGTGTGATATTTAATTCCTTTTCGAGGTGAGTCAGCTCTCAGAAACAGCTCTCTCACATCGACATATTCATTTTGATCAATGCCAAAACAGTCTGCTCCCAGCAACTTTGGCCACTTCTCAGGACTAGCTGGAATACGAGTCACTGAAACAGATTCACCACCCACCGTTTTTCAGCAATGTAACATAAAGTCAATTCATACCCAAAAGGAAATTGCAAGATCAACTTGTTGATGAGAAAACTGGAATTCAAAGCGATCCCAAGTAGAGTTCTTAGCTGTAAATGTTCAGGTTTTGTCGTTCTAAAACTGAAAGTCTGGAAAGTTTAGTGCTTTTTTTTTTTACTGTTCTACCACCAGCCAATTACAGACACAGAAAATCTAGTAACATACTGTAACAGCATATTCAATTAAATTCAATTAAAAATACTTTATTAATCCCAGAGGGAAACTGATTGCTGTAGTAGCTCAGAATAATAATAATAATCAAGTCATCAAAGGATTATTGTATATTACAATGGCTGTTGGCAGGAAGGATCTCCAGTAGCGGTCAGTGTTGCAGCCAAACTGAAGAAGCCTCTGACTGAAGACACTCCTCTGTTGTCGGACAGTCTTGTGAAGAGAATGCTCAGGGTTGTCCATCATTTTCTTGATTCTCTGGAGAATCCTTCTTTGCATTATCTCCTCCAGTGGTTCCACAGTCGTCTCCAGAACAGAACCAGCCTTTTTTATTAGGCTGTTGAGCCTTTTCAGGTCCCTGCTTCTGATGCTGCTACCCCAACAGACGATGGCTGAAGAGATTACACTCTCAAAAACAGACTTGTAGAAGATCTGCAGCATCTTGCTACAGACATTGAAGGACCTAAGCGTCCATAAGAAGTGCAGTCTGCTGTGTCCCTTCTTGTAAACGGCTTGGCTGTTCTTTCTCCAGTCCAGTCTGTTGTCCAGGTGAACTCCAAGGTATTTGTATTCCTCAACCACCTCCACTTCTTCTCCCATGATGGAAACAGTGTTTGACTCCACCCTGTTTCTTCTGAAGTCTAAAATCATCTCCTTTGTTTTGTTCACATTCAAGGTCAGATGATTGTTTCCACACCATGCCACAAAGCGCTCCACCAGCTCTCTGTACTCAGCTTCCTGTCCATCTCTGATACACCCGACAACTGCAGAGTCATCGGAGTATTTCTGTAGATGACAGGTCTCTGATTTGTACTGGAAGTCTGAGGTGTACAGGGTGAAAAGGAATGGTGAGAGTACAGTCCCCTGTGGTGCTCCAATGTTACTGATCGTCTGGTTTGATGTGCAGTTCTTCAGCCTCACAAACTGTGGTCTGTTTGTCAGGTAGTCTTTAATCGGCGATAGTTGAAGCCCCCACCGGTGTCTTCTGGAGTTTCTGGCAAAGTACATCAGGCTGGATTGTGTTAAATGCACTGGAGAAATCAAAGAACATGACCCTGACAGTACTGCCTGCTTTGTCCAGATGACAGTGGGTTGGTTGAAGAAGCTGGATGATGGCATCTTCAACTCCAACTCCATGGCGATAAGCAAACTGCAGCGGGTCCTGATATGTTCTAGTTTGCTTATTCAGGTGGACCAACAGGAGTCTCTCCAGGACCTTTATGATGTGGGATGTCAGGGAAACCGGTCTGTAGTCGTCATTGACTGATGGGCGCGTTTTCTTTGGAACTGGAACAAGGCAGGATGTCTTCCACAGGACTGGAACCTTCTCCTGGGCCAGGCTGAGGTTGAAGAGGTGCTGCAGAATCCCACAGAGCTGCTCTGCTCAGGCCTTCAGTACTCTGGGACTGACACCATCTGGACCTGCAGCCTTGTTCCTGTTCAGTCTCTCCAGCTGCCTCTTCACCTGACTCCTAGAGACAGATAGGTGGGACGGGGAGGTAAATGGGGCAGCAGCATCTCCTGACTTGGTTGAAGACAGATATTGTATCACAGCAGGCAAAAGATCCACTAATGCTGATATGAGCTCGTTATTTTCTTCTCCATTATACATTCAGCTGGGCTCCACGTAACTGATAGTCAATAGTTGATAGTTATTAAAGTTTAATGTTGCTACAAGTTGAATAAAAGTATGTAATATGTTCTCTCTGGTGTCTCTGTTTAATCATTCCTTAATGAGCGTAGACCAATAATGGAGACTTTATATCCATTTTACCATCATCGTTCCATCCATCAGTTTATGTGCCAGTCTAAATGGAGCTTCCTCAGATATAGCCACAGAAAGATTTTTATGAGCACATAAATAATGAAGTCCCACAGATAACCACACTATCTCTGATGTCCTGAAAGTGTTTCAATCTTCCGGTCTTGGTTTCTGTCATGCTGCCTCCTTCACAACCCACGACATCCTCCCCCGGAGGATCCCACACACACTCAGCCCAACCGAACTCCACTACCCAGCATTCCCAGCGCCAGCCTTCTGGCTTACATCACCTGCCACGTCTACATAAGGAAGTGCAGCTCAACACCAAACCACTCACAGTCAGCGTTTCTAACCGATCTATGCTCCGAGTTCTGAGCAAACCCAACCCGATCATTCGGCCCGTTCTGACCAGATCAGCCCGAGCCACTCACCCTGCCGACTCACAGTAAGTCAGCTTGTTTCCTTTTGGAGCTGCCGTGCTCACCAGCTTTGTACGGTTTGACTCCTAGAGCAAACGCGTGTCAATCTGCCCGGCGTCAGTCACTCCGCGCTTGGGTCAAAACACACGCTACAGTCCGAACTCTCTCTCCGGTTCAGCTCAGCGCGAGTCAAGCCTTACAGTTTCATCCCCTTCTTGGTGAATGAGTCTAATAAAGCAAGTAACACAATATGCTTTTTATCTTTTTACCTGTCGTTGTGTAGAACATGATCTCATCTTTAAACTCTTTGCGCTCCTCCAAGGCCTCATCGATGCTCTGGATGATACTTTCACTGGTCTCAGGCCCATAAAGGAACTTACAGGCACAGCTCTTCTGCATGACCTCTGCCCGAGAGAAGCCTGTGAGTTCACAGAAGCCATCAGAGCAGTAGACAATTGGAAAGCCTTTGGACATCTGAGCATTGGCCAGGATGAAGTTGCTGTCTGCAAGAGAAAGAAAAAAAAAGAAGAAAGATGACAAAGAGCTGAGTTAAGAAATGTTCCTCAAACTTTTAGTAAATACTAGAGATGTGCCTTTGTGAAATTTTGGCGATACAATACGTATCTCGATACAGGTGAGATGATACGATATGTTGCAATACATTCAGCCAAACAATGGTAGCAACTGAATGAAGACTGAATTTATTGTAGGGAAATTCAAGAAACAGTACAAACTGATACGTAACATGTTTAACATGAGGTATCTGCACTATAATAGAGGGATTTGCATTTCTGTGGTGGAAACAAAACCCATTGCACACTGCTGCCAACTAGCAGTCAGTATTTGAATTGCATCAACAACTCCATCAGTATGGTAAAGACATGCGGCACTGCAGGCACCATGAATAAACAAAACAAGGACAGTAACATCAAATTTTACAGGTTAACTTCCTTTTCGGCTCAACTTAAAACAAAACTTTTCACTATCCATGAGGAGAAAAAATAATCTGACTGCACAAAAGAGTACTCTCCTCCTGGAGGACTTTGAGTGTGTTAATGATACTAGGAGCTATGGTGACTGGGGACATAAAATGGTATGGTATAATAGCAGACATAAGACAAAAAAAGCAGATCTGGAGGTGGAGGCAAAGAGGAACATGGCAATAATCACTTTAATGAAGGGGGGAGGTGGAGAGACAGGATGCAGGTTGTTTAAACTAAAAGGGAAACAGCAGATCTGTTTCTATTAGAACACACGGTCAGTCACGCACTGGTCTGCAATGTGTTTCGATGTTTTTCACCACATTGTGTGACAACAGAAGAAGTAAAGCAGACAGAGACACTCAGTTTTGTGTTTCTTCCTTTTTTCAGTTAAAATTCAGAATGAAGACACGATGTCAAGTAAATCATCTCCCCTAAGGACCGAGACGTTACAGCATCAGGAATGTCTGAGCTCAACCGGACAATGAAGATTTATAGTTATCAGTTCAGTTGGAACAGGAAGTGTGAATAAAGGACGAATACTTTTTTCACACTTCAACATTACACAGAGATACCCTCTTGTTTACACAATTGTTTTAAATTGAACCACATTGGAAAGTTCTTCTGCCCCCCAACCCAACCTTCCCTATCCATGTGTAAGTGAGTCCGTGAACGTTCCTTCATTCAATCCCAGTGTTCATTGCCTTATGTGTAAAGATGTGACCTGGAGAACTGATAAAAAAAGCTTACAGGCCCATGTGAAGATGGAGAGGAGGGTGAGACAGATCATCCATCCACGTGAACATCCAGGCGAGTTTGAGATATTCAGCATTCCAAGGACAACACGCAGCAAATGACGGAGAATGACAGACGAACCAGCAAACATCACAGGACAAACAGGGCTCCAATACATGAGGATAAGGGAAACTGGGGAGCAGGGTACCGAGGGGCAGGTGAGGCTAGTCAACGCTAACAAGGGGAGACAAGACAACAGGGCTGGGAAGAAGAACCTGACAGTACCCCCTTAAGGACAGCAACAGACAGTAGAAGCAAAGGAACCTCGAGCAGTCGGCAGCAGTGTTTGGAGCAAATTAAGGATTGGATGCAATTAAACTTCATCCAGTTAAACAAAGACAAGACTGAAGTTATTGTCTTTGGAAATAAGGATAGGATGGAGATCATTGCTCATCTTGGCTCCAAAGGAATAAAAACAAAGACTCGGGTTAGAAATGTTGGTGTCATACTTGATTCAGTGTCATGGTCTGCGTCTGCGTCTCCCTCATGTGTCTCCTTGTGTGCTCCATTCCCCTCTAAGGATCCCCTTATGTGTCTCTTTGTGTTCCTCATGTGTCCCCTGGTCTGCAGCCCTCCAGATTATCCCTCCCGGGTCCTGTGTTACTTCGGTCTTCCCCAGTCACCCCTCTGCAGTTTTTATAGGTTCAGCTTTTCATTTTATTAGTCTCTTTAGTGTGGTTTTCCCACCGGTTTTTGTAGTTTTCCTTCCCCTTAGAATATTAGTTATTTTTGCTGCTCTTCTTGTCTTTAGGTTTTTACCCTTAGGTCATGTTAGTTTCCTCCCTGATGAGTTAATTGCTTTCACTTGGTTTCTCTCCCCACACACCTGCAGCCTATCTGCCTCCCATCATGCCCCAGTGTATATAACCTGCGTCTCTGTCTGTTGTTGGGTCATTGTCGTTGTCACCTTTGTCTCGTTCCCCTCTCTAGATTTGGATCTTCGTTTTGGATATTCTAGGTTTTGTTATTTGGGACTTTTGACTTTTGTTTTTTGGCTCCCTGCCCTTTTTTTGGATTGAGTCTTAATAAAAGGATTTTACTTTATTGCTCCACGCAGTGTCATCTGGTTCTCTGCATCGTTGGGTCCTAACCTCCTCTTGGCTCCCCATCGTGACATTCAGACCTGAGCTTCACTGGTCGCATTAAGGCCATAACTACCGGTAGATCAGCGTTTTATCGTCTGCATCAAAAAGCAAGACAGAGGTCTCATGTCCAGATCAGACCTAGAGAAACTCATTCATGTGTTCATCTACAGCAGGCTGGACTATTGCAATAGTCTTTTGACTCTGACTGGTCTTCCCAAATAAGCTGTGCAGCAACTGTAGCTTATTCAGAATGCTGCTTAACAAGAACCAAGAGAACCGAACACATCACTCCTGTTCTTAGATCTCTACACTGGTTACCAGTAAACCACAGAATCAATTTCAAAGTACTTCTACTAGTTTATAAATCACTCAGTGGCATGGGGCCAGAATACATGTCAGATCTCCTTCAGGTATGTATGCCCAGCAGGGCTCTGAGATCCTTAGGAACCAGTCAGCTGGTAGAACCCCGGGTCAGAACCAAACAGGGTGACGCTGCTTTTAGCTACCATGCTGCACATACCCAACTAATAATGGGTCTTTTTACACCACAATATAAGTGATGCCACACAAACACAGTTTCATCTATTTTGTACTGACTTTGGTGGTGAGATTACCACTTTAGCCTCCAAGCTAGCCATCACTACCAACACTTGAAAGTCCACTGAGCAAAAATGAAATCAAACACAGATGGTCAAGTAGTGCCTCTTCGGCTGTTTCGATGAATCGCTCAGGTGCGATGATGTGATTTTTAACTCGGAAGAACAAAGAATGATGGGATCTTCAGCTCATGCAGATGATGGCCTGTGTGGGCTGGATGAATGGAGGTCGTTTAGCTCAGTAAACTGCTGATTTATCTGCGTGCTGCAGAGCACCACTCTTCACACTTGTTCACTGGAGTCAAATGATGAAACCTGCTATTTGTACAACTTCCAGGGAGAGTGGCATCAAACTGAGGTGATGCGTGTGTGTGTGTGTGCGTGTGTGCGTGTGCTGGAAAAGTGTGTGTCTGGGTGGAATAAAATCTGGATTAATGACAGAAAAAATATTAAAGTAGCTGATGTTTATCACAGTTCATTAGCTAATTTTCATCTTCCAGTCTGAGCAAACCAGCTGTTTATACCTGAAATTATCTGTGATAGCACAGTAACACACACACTCAGGTACACAAACACACACTCAGTGTCTAAATAATGCTGCTCTCTGCTGATAGACAGTGTTTCCACCACAATACCTATTATGTGAGACATTGGACAATGAAGGTTTGACAGCCTGTGCAAGTTATGTGTGTGTGGATGCTAGTGTGTGTATTTGATTGTGTCCTGCTGCCATTTGATAAGCAGCCCAGTGTCTAACCCTACACAAGAATTTAATGAAGCACAATGAAACATCTGACTCTGTGAAACGGCAGCAAAAACATAAAATCTTAACATTTGTATGATTGCAGTAAATAAATCACTCTCTCTCTCATTCTCTCTCTCTCTCTCTCTCTCTCTCTCTCTCACTCTCTCATTCTCTCTCTCTCTCTCTCATTCTCTCTCTCTCTCTCTCTCTCTCTCTCACTCTCTCATTCTCTCTCTCTCTCTCTCTCTCTCATTCTCTCTCTCTCTCTCTCTCTCTCTCTCTCTCTCTCTCTCTCTCATTCTCTCTCTCTCTCTCTCTCATTCTCTCTCTCTCTCTCTCTCTCTCTCACACACACACACACACACACACACACACACACACACACACACACACACACACACACACACACACACACACACACACACACACACACACACACACACACACATTTCTAGACCTTCGGATATCCAAACACAAAGTGAGCTTTATGATCACTCCTCCATGACAGAAATCTTTCGATTGCAACAAAACCTTGTTAGATGTTTAATTGTTTGATGTTTTGTGTCGAGCTTTGGTGAATAAACTCTGAGAGAAATGTGAAAGGTTCATCTTCTAATCTCACTTACTAAACATTTACCTCTTTAGGCGTTCTACATTTTCTCAAACTCGTAAAACACTTTGAGACTTCATGAGGCTCCCTTCACACCAATGCCTCCATTGAGTGTCTGCATTACAGCAACTGGAAAACCTCCTTTAGGATCGAGCGCGTCATAATGCTGCAGGCGTTTTACAACCAGCTGCAAGCAGGTCAATCCTTTGTCTTAATATGCTTGATTAAATTTGCATGAGCCATAAGCACAACCACCGTCATTAAAAAAGCACCAGTGATTCCTTTGTAGGAGGATGCCGACAGGTCTTTGTTTTATTGGTTTGTGGTGATCGTCCTGATGGATGACATCACAATCTGGAATTACTCTGAAGTTAAGAATAGGCTACAAAAGATCATTAGATTTGCTTAGAAAATGATCAAAGAAAGTGGGGGTCAGGACCCAACCGGGCTGTACCCCTAACACAGGGACGCAAAAGGATGCATAAGATCAGATATGTGGTCACTAATACATTTATTTTATGTTAACAGCTAACCAGCACATTATGAAATAAAGCTTTTGATGTTGTAGTCATCTGTCTAGCTCATTAGCAAGACTTGTGTGGTTTAAACTGATACTATGCAACTTTTTCATATTTTAAAATCATTTTCTTGAGCCACTATGTTCTGATATGAACTTTTACAGGATTAATTAA